ATCCAAAATAATAAAAAAGAAAAATATTTTTTCCATAAAAAATAATTACATACGAATGCTATCCAATAAAAGGAGATTATATTATTATACCTACCTAACTTTCAAACTTTGAAGATAACTGAGTGATATAGTAGAAATAACTCACAGTTTTGTTTATACAGGGTGGCGCACCTCATTCGCCTCGGTTGATTATCCGAAAACGGAAAGATGTAGAAACAAAAGATTTTATGGGTATATGTGGGGAGGCAATGTGCACAATTTAAAATTATTTTGAAATATACAGCGTGTCTCAGAACTAAGATCTATACCAAAGTTATATTTTTTCTTATGGAACACACCCGGTGTTTTATTTAATTTCTTGGGCCCAAAATAAGACATTTATTATAATATATTATATATGTTTAAAATCTTTTGTTTTTGAGATATTTAAAGATATTTAAATATGCATGCTACAAAAGAATTGATTTTTTACACCCTGTGTATTTCTTTTCACAATTAATTCTTTTGCTGGCTATAAAGGTAAAGAAATAAACTTTACTGAAAAATGTTATTGCTTCCTTATATTTACACAGGGGTACCAAAAATTGGTGATCTATTTTAAGGATTTATTTTACATAAAAACTTTGTTATTTCAAATACAACACCCTGTATTTTTTTAAATAAATCGAAGCAGATTCAAATGCTCTGTCAAACTATATTAGGGTTTCCTATACCTATCTATCTCAGATTTTGAATAAAAAGCGATTTTTAAATAAAATGGCAATCAAAATGGCTGTTATAGCCATGGAAATTTGCTAGTCAGTGTTCCCAACTCTCAAAAATTTATCTCCCTAAAAATCTAAAACGCTCGCATCAAAAATCCCCAAAATATCCCTAAAAAACTAAAAAAAATATCCCGAAAAAAAAATATAAATAATAATAAATAAACAGTTTTTTGTGTTCTTAGTGGTTGACCTTGAAACGTCTGATCACAGCAATGTAGCCAACTGTTCGAAACTTTCCATTAAAGCAATATCAAACCTTCTTAAATCCAAACAACTAAAATCCCCACAACTGTTATCCAAGATTCGGTGATTAAAACAAATAAATTATTTTGTTTTATTTATACTTTCCTATTAATTTTCAAAAATAGCAGTAGCGGTCTTATCTCCTCTTTGGTATCGGTAAAATTCCATTGAAATTTTATCCCTAAAAATATCCCCAAAAAATTTTACTCCCTAAAAAAATCCCCATATAGATTTTTTCTCCCCAAATTTAGGGATAAAATCCCGGAGTTGGTAACACTGTTGCTAGTGACAGTTAGTAACTATTTTCAAAATCGCCATTAGTTTATAGACATTATTATTTAATAAAATTATATCAGGATTCTTGCCACTTAACTGCTGATATAGAAATTTAATTCTACGCTGTGTTTGTCATAATGTGGATCAACCAGCTCTCACTACGGGTTTCGGAGCCCTACTCCATCATCAGGTGAGCTTGGGCAGATCCACAAAATGACAACCACCAGCGCAGAGATAATTAATTCCGACTTGTCGGAATGTGTCGGTTAGATATTAACTCCCCAACGGGAGATAGCGGCCTGCGTGCAATGGTAGTACTTTTACTATGTATATATTTAAACGAACTTTTTTACTTATTTTATTCTGCAGAATATGCTGCCGAAGTTTCGCGAAAACAGTTCGAACCACCCTGTATAATATGTATATTAACAACAACAAATATTTTAAATAAAACGAAAACATGTTTTATTCTCATAAAGGAATACTATGCGTATGCTCGAAACTTATTTGAGTATCTTTTCTATTATTGAATAATATACAGGATGGCCAAAAAAGTAGCGAGCAAATTAAAATAACAAATATGTAAAACGTTTTTCTAATTTAAAAATGATATTATTGTACTTTTTAAATTACACTATACAGTGTGAACCTTAAATAAGTGCAAATATACCCTAGAAACACGCCTTCGAGTTTTTCCCTCAAAAAAATTGAAAATTTTGTATTTTTTCCTAGAAAATTCTGGATTTTTTAAATTCTTTTTGTTAAAAAAACATAGTATCTTGATAATATGGCAACACGGACAGCAGATTAAATTTATATGAAATAAAATCCAGAAAAAATCTAGTGGTTCTCAAAATTTATCCAAAAAATATCTTTTTTATTTTCAAACTAAAATAACTTGGTTATTTTGGACTTACTTATTTATTTGAAAAACGGCAGAGAAAATATTATGTTTCTTTTGTCGAGACTGGTAGATCCGAAAATAATTGCAGTTATTTAAGACTCACCCTGTATAGTTGAAAAATAATTCGCTTAAATGATATTCAGGGTCATTCTGTATTTAAAAAGAAATATATGTGTATAAAGAAAAACCTTAGAAACAATTTTTTTCTTTAGTATTTTCTTAAACTACACCATTTAAAAATAATTTTTACTCTTAAGGCCAAGTGGCAGTAAACGCCTTAAAAAAATAAAGAAGAGTATGGGCCAAGTAATGACGGCTAGGGCTTGACCTCGTCAAAATTATTTTCGACTATCATGCCCGAGCCGTCTGTGACGCCGTTTTTTTTCTCGATTGTATGATATTTTTAAGGTTGCTTACCTATCAAACTCTTTTCTAGATACTTTCATTTATATAATTGAGAGTCAGTAGATATATATATATATATATCTATAAATCTCTAAGTCCTGACTGATCACTGACTCATCAACGCCCAGACCAAACCCTTCACCCTAGAAAGCTGAAATTTTGCACAGGGGTTCCTTTTATGATGTTTACGTGAGATAAGAAAGGATTTTTTAAAATTCATCCCCTAAGGGGGTAAAAAGAGGGGTGGAATATTAGAATATTTTTTATTTAAAAAACGGTTAAGTTTCCGAAAAAACGCTTAAACATGTATATTTTATTTTCTTTTTTTAGATATTTTAAGATTTTTTAAAAATGTATACAGGATGTTTCGAAAAATCTGATCATTGATTAATCACGATCCTGCTTAAAGCGCTTGACATAAAAAGCTGATATTTGGAAAACGGATTGACTTTAGGGTGTAGAGGTTCGATAAGAAGGGATTTTTCGAAACTCGAATTCTAAGGGGGTGAAACAACCCCTTAAATATTAGAATATTTTTTATTTAAAAACCGGTGAGTTTTTCGGAAAAACTCTTAAACACGTATATTTTATTTTGTTGTTTTACATATTTTAAGATTTTTTAAAAATTTATACAGGGTGTTTCATAAAATATGGCCATTGAGTAATCACGATTCTGCTTAAACTGCTTGACGTTTAAAGCTGATTTTGGGCAAACGGATTGACTGTGTGGTGTAGAGGTTCGATAAGGAGGGGTTTCTCGAATCTCAAATTCCAAGAGGGTGAAAACGCCCCTCAAATAATCTATACTAATATATAAAATTCTTAAGTGACTCACTGATTAATCACTTCCTGCTCAAACCACTCAACGTAAGAAGCTCAATTTTGGCATACAGGTTGATTCTAGGGTGTAGTGGTTCGATAAGAAGGGATTTTTCGAAATCCCAGTTCCAAGAGGGTGAAACCACCTCTCAAGTATTACCATATTTTTTATTTAAAAAACGATCAAGTTTCCGAAAAAACGCTTGACCACGTATATTTTATTTTGTTTTTTACATATTTTAAGACTTTTTAAAAATGTATACAGTGTTTCGAAAAATCTGGTCATTGATTAATCACGATCCTGCTTAAAGCGCTTGACGTAAAAAGCTAATTTTTGGAAAACAGACTGACTTTAGGGTGCACAGGTTCGATAAGGAAGGATTTTTCGAAACTGGAATTCTAAGGGGGTGAAACTATCCCTCAAATATTAAAATATTTTTTATTTAAAATCCGGTGAGTTTTTCGGAAAAATTCTTAAACACGTATATTTTATTTTGTTATTTTACATATTTTAAGATTTTTTAAAAATTTATACAGGGTGTTTCATAAAATATGACCATTGAGTAATCACGATTCTGCTTAAGCTGCTTGACGTTTAATGCTGATTTTGGCAAACGGATTGACTGTGGAGTGTAGAGGTTCGATAAGGAAGGGTTTCTCGAATCTCAAATTCCAAGAGGATGAAAACGCCCCTCAAATATTACAATATTTGTTATTTAAAAAACGGTTAGTCTTTCGGGAAAACGCTTGGACACGTATAATTTATTTTGTTTTTTACATATTTTGAAATTTTTTAAAAAATCATACAGGGTGTTCCAAAAAGTTGGGCAATTGATTAACCACGATTCTGCTCCAGTTTGTATGTTAATGGAAATTCTTGCTTTGCTTTATCATATCACCATTACAAATGATTAATTCGACGCGAACGAAGTCGCGGGTACATGCTAGTTAAATATAATCTTATTGTTATTAGATTTTTATGAACATTTTTTTTTGTTTCAGGATGTTGGCTCACGAGGAATTTTCCAAAAACTTAGAATTAGTTGCAAGAAAAAACGTAACCACAGAAGAAATCAAAAGTATTTTACTGAAGGCTTATATGGGTTGTGATTTGAAGTACTCAAAGCAAGTTCCAAATCATCAAAGTACCTCTCAGGATCAAATAAACCAAAATATACCATTACAGCAATAATATAAGCCAATAAAAGTGTCTAATCTACGTCAACAAATATTTAAATGTATTTTAAGTTTAAAACTAAATTTGCAATATTATATTTAATCTAGTCAATTCATGTGTAATGTTTTCTATGCCATTTTAAAATATATTTACAAATAACTATAAGTTTTATGAAATAAATCAAATTTATTTAGGTACCGACTGTATATTTCATTTTTAAAATACAATGTTTATACAATATTCAAACTAAATAAAGTCTAGATTCAACGAGACCATAAACTTAGAAAATTTAACAGCTGTTCACACATGGGCGTAGTGATAATAACTTCAAAAAAAGAAACATAAATTCATTTTATGTGATATTTTGAAAAATAACAAAAAATACCTCTTCACCTACGCCTATGTTTTTTTTAATATACTCGAGGATTGAAACATTTAGATCTTACATATATTTGTTATATGATTTAATAACAATTATTTAATAGGTTTTTAATAAAATCATTTGGGAAAATTGAATAAGAAAATTACTATTATTTGAAAAATTTTTGATTGATTTTGAAGTAAAATTCTGAGGTTAACACACTGTATATTTGAGGCTTTCTTTTGTAAATAAAGTAAAATTTCCTGTGTTATTATTTAATATACAGTAAACACTAAATTTTTAAGAAATAATAGTACTTACTTATTTTACTCAATTGACCCACTGTATGATTTTCTTTGCTTTGCAATATAAAATGACAACCATCGTCATAAAATATTCCTCCATATTGTACAAGAACAGTCAAAATCTTTTTCGGAAAGCAAATTTATATAAACTTCCCACTAAGGCACCACCATTTTGACCTGCCTCAAAAACGTACATAGTTTTGTCCATTACTGTACAATTTCAATTTTTAAAAATTCTTGACACCCATATTATTTGTTTGGGCTATTTTTGAGTTGAAATAGTATTAAAAAAAGTCAAAATAATGAGAAATCAGAGTCGAATTCACAACACCCTGTATTATACAAGTAAAACTCTGTGAAAAAAAAATGTATATGTTTGTAAAATACTGAGATATAAAAATAAGCATACAAAATTTAATACTTAATAACAAGTGTGGTTAGGCAACCTAAATATACGTATATATAGTATAATCCAAACAAAGTGGCACTGGCCTTGCCAATGATAACGTCAATTCAACTTTGTTTGGCTTTGCTATAGGTATAAAGTTAATGAATAAAAACTTAAAAGATATCAATAATATACAGACCTACAACATGTCATCTTTTTCTAAAATAGAATAATTATTATATCACATTTAATATTTTTGTTACTTTCAACATTAGTTAAAATTTTCAATTCGTTCACATTTTTTTTATATTTAATAATTTTAAAATAATAAAAATTTTGATTTACGTTGATATTCTTCATTTACATAACATCATAATATATTTTTTTTTAGTTATGACTAGTTAAGCAAGATTTTTTTTTGAGTTTAAACAAGAACTTGGAGGTTTGGAGGTTTTTAAATACTGCTGATTTAAAACAAAAGGTAAAATATTGAATTGACAATAAAAACCCATTTTTTTCCGAAAAATTACAAGATTACGTTTACGATAACATCCTGTATAACACGATATTCAAAACTATCCGCCGTTTTGCAGCGCTTCCAACTGTTCCAGCTTAACCTTCAGTTTCATCTTGTCCTCTTTCAGGTCTGCCAACTGTTGGCTTAGTTCCTGGCACGTCCGCAAGAGTGCGGTGTTTTCGATTTGTAACCTCTCGAATTCTTGCCATTGTTCTTCTTCCAGCGCGTCCAAAGGTGATTTTTCTCCGGATACACTCTTGCCAGGTTTTCTGTAAATTATTAGGAATTAAATAATTTTATAATAAATAAAAAAAATTGTATGTACCTGTAAACTTCAAAAGCGCCATGTTTCCTAGGAGGTTCTTCGATTGGTTCTTGTGCAAAGAGTTGTGCAAACAGTTTTTTACGTTCTGCCTCGTACAGATCGCCTAAAAAATAAAAAAAAAATTATACAGGGTGTTCATAAAAATATACAGGGTTGTTCACCACAAACGACACGGAGTATTGTAGCTAAACGATGAGATTTTTACAAATTGTAAGTTTTGGGTTCGATTAAGGACTATTAGAGGTACAATTTAAAAATAATTTTACAAGATACAGAGTGTCCCAAATAAGTAAAAAATATCAAAGTTGTATTTTTTTAAATGCAACACCCTATATATTATTTCATTTTTAGTTTCTACGATTAAAATAAAGGTAAATTTGATTAAGGTTTATTATACTTAAACCTTACCGTTTTTGAAATATTTTCAATTTTGTGAAATTGCAGTAAAAATTTTAAGGCTTCATTTCTCCAAGGGTATCAAAGTTTTTAATACTAAATATTTACTGAAGTTTATTTATTGATCAGTTATTTTGTTGCAATAATAAAAATAATACTACCTTATACAGAGTGCCTAAAAATTTATTTTAAATAATTATTAGCTTCAAATGGCAATAACTTGTTTCATTTAAACGGAACACCTTGTATATTTTACGAGAATCAGATGCACAATTTAATTGTCTATCAAATTATATTATACCATTTTTTACCTATCTTTTTAAGTTTCCATAGAAAATGCATTTTCTTGTAATTTAGAACTTATTTATCAATATACCCATGGAATATTGACATTTTAGATTATTTTTAAAGATGTACCAAATTTTTAAAGAGTACAGATACTAATATTGTCGATACAATTTGTTTATTTTATTAAAAAATAAAAAAAAACTGTTTAAATATTTGTTAAAGGGGACCAATTAATATGATTCCAGTATTCAAACTACATTAACTGACTGTTTGCGTTGATTAATAATAATTGCTCCAAATACTAAAAAACTGAATTTTGTATGGGTATTAGACAGTGTGATAAAAGAAACACCTTAAAAATGATATTTCATTTTTAATAAATACTTATTTATAACAACAGAGACTTTAATTTTGATAACTTATTATTATATTGATTTCTGACTCAAATCCACATTTATTTAGAATAATTTATTAACGAACACAATTAAGTATGTAATTAATTAGTATATGGGCGGAAATAATGGTGTTATATTTAATTAATGGTATACTCTTTTATAAAGATTTAAACAGTTTTCTTTTTGCATACAAATGGGTTAGTAATATTATCGTTTTGCTAAAAACGATAATATTACTAGCCTGTACATTTTGTACATTTGTTGCTTTAAAAACAATCTAAAATGTCAATATTCCATGGGTATATTGATAAATAGGGTCTAAATTATAATGAAATGCATTTTCTACGAAAACTTGAAGGGATAGGTAAAAAAATAGTATAATACAATTTGATAGACAATTAAATTGTGCATCTGATTCTCCTAAAATATACAGGGCGTTCTATTTAAATTAAAGAAGTTATTGGCGTTTAAAGCTAGAAATTATTTAAAATAAATTTTTAGACACTCTGTATAAGGTAGTATTATTTTTATTATTGCAACACAATAACTGATCAATAAATAAACTTCAGTAAATATTTAGTATTAAAAACTTTGATACCCTTGGAGAAATGAAGCCTTGAAATTTTTACTGCAATTTCCCAAAATTGAAAATATTTCAAAAACGGTAAGGTTTAAGTATAATAAACCTTAATCAAATATACCTTTATTTTAATCGCAGAAACTAAAAATGTAATAATATACAGGGTGTTCCATTTAAAAAAATACAACTTTGATATTTTTTACTTATTTGGGACACTCTGTATCTTGTCAAATTATTTTTAAATTGTACCTCTAATAGTCCTTCATCGAACCCAAAACTTGAAATTTGTAAAAATATAATCGTTTAGCTACAATACTCCGTGTCGTATGTGGTGAACAACCCTGTATAATATGTCATTCAAAAAAAACTATAAAAAGTCAACTATTTTAAATGGAAATTCAGATTTTTATTTTTATTTTAATAAGCATATTTACCAGGAAATATTGGTTCATCCTGGACATTTTCGTACTTTTCAAATCTGTTAAAATCAGCAAAAGATGCGTCAGTACCTTCTAAAGAAGGCACGCCATCTCCTTCTGATCTCTGATTGGGCAGTTTCTTAATCTGACCGCTTGGGCTTATCCTGGGGGGTACCATAGGAGGTGCGGAAGGTTTGGTAAGCCTAAGACACAAATTATTAAACAATACAACATACATAATCCACCTAAAAAGTTCTTAATAATTTTTTTTTCACGTTACTTTCATACATTAACCGTTTTTGGGATTTTTTTTTAATTTTTGGACGAAAAAACAGCCTCTGGGACAATCTGTATACTCATAGAAACAAAGTTGGCTGTAATAACGCGTGACATAGTTTTATCCACGAACTACATTTTATGATCCTAAGTTTTTTTATTCTCTATGTAGAATAAATAAACAGAATATGGCAAACCTATTAAGGTCCAACGAAGAACTCCTTCCATGAGTTTTAAAGGTTCTTGGCGGCGGAGGCGGAGGTTTCTCCTTCTTGACGGGGGGAAACGCCGGCAAACTGACAGGCCCGCCTTCCTCAGGAGGCGGAGGTATAGCCCCCGGCCCCCTGGCATTAATCTTCTTAGGCTGGGGCCTCTGGATTGCACTATGTTGTTGATTATTCGAAGACAACGACTGGAAACCGGGAATCCCTTCCGATTTTCTAGGACTATGTAGATCTGTAATAATAATAATAACTTTTTAATACAAAGAAGGAAACTGAAAGCTATAAAAATTCTAGTTTATGTAAAACTGTAACTAATTTTTACACAAAAGAAGAAGGAAATTAAAGATAAAGGATTATACTATATCCGTATTGTAGCACATTTTTAGACAACTTCTCTATTTCTAAGATTTTGATGATCAAACATCAACAAAATATTCCTATGTTTGGACTAAATTTTCTCGAAAATAGAGACATAATTTAAAATTCCGTTACAATACGGAAATAGATTGAAGTTTTGTGATTACAGTGATATATAATTTATAAGGTTTTCTAACGAATTGCTCGCTATTTTACGGCAAATGCTGAAGCTCTGCAAAGCGTAATCAAGCCTTAATCAAAGCACGTGTGTTTGGAATTTTGGTTGTGGCTTAAAGCTTGATTTTCATGCATCGGTTGTCCGACGATACGATGATACGATATTAATTTTATTGGTTGAATTTAAAGACTTTGATTGAATAACCGTTTCTAACCAATTGAAGTCTTTAAAGTCAACCAATAAAATTAATATCGGACCATCGTATCAACGGATAACGGACGCATGAAAATGAAGCTTAACACGATAGGATCGGGCTAAGAATTTCTGAAATATAATTTGTATTTCCTTCGGCCACAGACCCGCTTTACCCGACCCTGAGACTGAGAGCGACCCGAACAGTACAGCGTAATAGACTCTTAAATATTACTTGTTTCGAATTAATTAAATTAAATTATTAATTAAGCAGATTAATTATTAATTAATTAAAGTAATTATTAATTAATTAAATGAACTATTAATTAATTAAATTAATTATTAATTAATTAAATTTAATTAATTCGATACAAGTAATATTTAAGATAAAAATAAACGATTAAAAAGATAAGATTAAATTATTAATTAATTAAATTAATTTAATTAATTCGATATAAGTAATATTTAAGATAAAAACCACTCGAAATTTGTTCATTCTTTTCAATTGACACACACAATTCACACATATTTACAAACACTGAAAGGCAACTTAAAGGCAACGAAAGAATATCCTTAAATTATAGTTTCGATCAATTGATCATAGATGGCGCAATATGTATTAGTTTTCCATATTAAAGTTGATAAATAAATATTGTTTTACTGAAAAAAGTATGGCTCTGGATGCTTTTTAGTCAAAATCAAAAGGCGCAATTAAAATTTGCAGTGAATGATCGAACAATTTGATTAGAAACTATGTGCATAACTTTGATCGCGAATAACTTTTATTCCTTTGAGTTATGAAAAAAACCAAAGAGACCTTTTTTGTAGAGCGTAAAATTTTGTATTAGAATATGTCTTTGGCGAAGCTGTAGGTTCATTTGCTTTGGAGATAAAAAATTAATTAAATGCAAAAGGTCAGAAAATCCCATGTTATTTTTTAAAGAGGAAAAGTGTCATGATTCTGGAACGGTTTAAATTAAAAATTGGTCAAGTGCGAGTCGGACTCGCGCACGACGGGTTCCGTACCATTCATTATCTATACAACATTAGACAGTATATTATTATAAACTTTTTTCCGATTTATCTGAAATTTTTAAAGCGCGTATAAGTAATTTAAAAAAATGAAGAAACACATTACTAAAAATTGTATTAATCAATAATAAATATGTAAAAATAAGTAAAAATTATAAAAAAACGATTAAAAAAGTCACCTAGACTATGATTCGAACCTCCCTTACTACGGTTCCAACGTCACAGCAGCGTAAAGTCCTAACGCTTTAAACCACGCGGCCACTGAGGACTTGAAAGATTCTATGTAAAATTCTTACTTAAAATATAATGTTCAGTGAAAGTACTTTTTTATTTATAAACATTTATTTAATTCTGTTTTTAGTATTTGTTCTTATGCGGCAACATAGATACATTATCTGTAAAAATTTCAACTGTCTAGCTATAACGGTTCATAAGATAAACCTTTGTGACAGACAGACGGACGGACAGCGAAGTCTTAGTAATAGGGTTCCCGTTTTTACCCTGGTTCCGGACCCTAAAAATTAAGAGCTTGTTTACGTTGGATCATTTTTTTAGACCAAAAAATAAAATTTCAGAGGGGGGCAGCAAAAAAAATCAACTTGGGAAATAACAGACACCCTAATGTATGTATGAATATACCTATGGCATCGGGTACATCGTCGCTATTCGGACAACCATGCGCCGCATTGGCTGCGGCCACCATTTCGGGCGTCAGTCTTCTCGGCACAGGGTGTCTCAGGTCCGGATCGTTCTGATCGATCTGAAAGTCGAAATTGACGGGAGATACGGGTCTGGTGGGGCTGTCCACGAATTTCGTCCATTCCTTGGCAGTCTCTTTCGTTGGCTTGGCGGTGGGGGAGGGGATTGGTTCTGGCTCGGGAGGAGTGGGGGGTGCTTTTATGACGGGCAGAGGGTCGTTTTGGGGAACGAGGCTGGATGGAAGCGTGTCGGGGATGGAGATTTTGTGTTTCCTAAGAACAACCTGAAAGAGATTGAAATATATACAGGGTGTTTCAAAAAACATGTACCATCTCTCGTGGGGAGATTCCCCACGTAAAAATAAAATTTATTTTACATATCAACATAGGTCGGATTCTGCTTTGTTTCGTAGCTACAGGGTGTTAAAGTCTTAATATTTTTTCGATTTATTATAATTTTCTTCCAAGTACTTTTCCAGTGATAGAGACATCGCTAACATAAATAATGCATGCTAGGTCTGGTCACTTCATCTGCGTGCTCTGTATTTTAATGGTTGCGACAGAGATAAATATAAATGACCGGTTGCCAGACAGAGAGACAAAATAAAAAGCGGTATACAGTGTTGCCGGTTTTTACGTTTGTAGGAAAATGTGTGTAGAAAAAATAAACTATTTTAAAAACTTTCACGTATACTACTGAAATGAAGGTAATCAGTGGCGGCTCGTGACCTTTACACTAGACAGTGCTGCATAATTGCAAAAAATAAATATCAAGATTTTATCAAGTTTAAAGACTTACCGAGTGATGAATTCCCAAACGGCTTAGCTAGTAGAATAAAATAATGTTCTTGGTATAGATGAATGAGATTTAGCACAAAAGTCACTATTAACAAAATAACAGTTTAATAATAAGACGCACAAATATTAGTTATTTCTCGTTTTCTTAAAAATTAACTCGATCCGTCTGTCCTTTTGTTTGGCAAACTTGTCAATCACACGTTCATTAAAGTCTGATATGGACCGAATTAGTCTTTGCTCGATTGTGAGGCATGCTAAAGCATTTAGTCTCTCTTGGCACATCGTACTTCTTAAAAACGTTTTAATACGATTTAATGTAGAGAAGTCTCTCTCGGCCTCTACGGTAGTCATTGGCATAGTAACAAGAATTTTTAATAATTTTATTACTTCTCTAAATACCTCTTGAAGATTGTTACTAACTAGAAAGTTAAGTAGCACAGCACATGACGAAAAGTTTCTATATTCTTCACTGGAGTATAAAACAGTTAATTCTGTTTTTAGCCTCTGCTTTTCTAAAAAGGGGTATGATTTCATGGTTTCTGTGAAATTGTCTTGGGGGAAGGTCAAATCATACCATTCAAATTTTTCGCAAATCAACAGGTTTGCAGCATTTAGTTGGTCAGTATATTGAAATCGGTCTTCGGCAACATTAGTTATAACATCACAAACCTCAGTAGCTGATATTTTCCAAGTCTCATCATTAAATTTTAATCTTTTCGTATCGATGATATTTTCAAACGATTTTGCTTTTTCCATAATTTCATGCATTTTCTGGTTTCTGATTGTGGTTATATTTTCCTTAAATAATTTCAAGCAGCGACTGATTTCAACGGAGTCTATAATTCTTTTTTTGTAGTTCGTTATACAAAATATCTACATGAGGCATAATGTAGTGAAATAGGGTAAGCCAAAAGACAAACGATCTTTCTTGCAATAGTCTTCTTATTGCTCCTGCCTGATTTTTTGTCGTAGTATTAATACCAGATGTTTCTTCGATTTCTTCCATACATTCTATCAAATCTTCCCTATATTCAAAAACAACATTTACTGTGCGGCTTTTAAAATTCCATCTAGTGGGCACAGATCTTGGAATTCTACGCCCAACTACTTTATTCAAAAAATGGACTCGTTGACTAGAGTTAGAAAAAAATATTGGTATTTCAGAGAGGTTTCCAAAGAATATCCGAACATCACTGTTTTGAGAGGCTGCTTGTGTCATTATTAAATTTAACTTGTGTGCATAACAATGCACAAAATGAGCTAAGGGATATTTTGCCTTAATTTTAGCCTGAACTCCTCCATGTCTCCCGCTCATTACTGCTGCACCATCGTACGATTGAGCAATCATTTTATTTGGATTTTGCCCTACCAAGGGTTGGAGTTCATTTAAAATGAGGGAGCTAAGCGAATCAGCTGTTTGTTGAGCGCTGGTAAAAAAGCCCCAAAATCGCTCAACTGCTGTGCTTCCTTTAATATAACGAAAAACCAGAACTGTTTGAAGTTTTGAAGAAACGTCGGTGGTTTCGTCGGCCATAACCCCCAAGAAATCCGCATCATGTATTTCCCTGGTAACTGTTTCTCGATAAACTTCGAAAATGCAGTCTAGTAAATCGTTCTGGATTTCTTTCGATGTTCCTTTAAAAACAGTAGAGGATTCTAAATGTTCTTTTAATGTTTTATCCAGTTCAGCAGTATAATTGATAAGACCTAGAAAAATTCCAGGATTTTTTGAAGTTTCACGTTCATCGTGGCCTCTTAATCCAAGCTCAAACATGCCGCAAAATTTTATAGCATCTAAAATTTTTGAAAGCACTAACCTGTTTTTTTGCAACTTTTTCATTATGAACAGCTATATTTTGCCAGAATGCCGTGTCAAGTTGTTCTTGTATATTAACTTTTCCTAACAAGGCAAAACGCAATCTCATTACTTATGTGTTGTTTTGAATTTTCATGAGCCTTAGCCTTTTCACTTAAATGCGTTAAGTCACTAACACCATGGCTTGTCCAATGCACATCACCACCAAACAGTACACAAGTAAAACAAAATAATTTATGTTTAATGTCACAACCGCAAATCCAATTGTACTTAGAATAAATGTTTACGTTAAATTTTCTAATGTAGGTTTTGCCGCGGCTTTTCGAAGAACACTCTATATTTAATTCCGGTTTTGGACGTCCAGTTTCTTTAATTTCTAATTTTTCGTCCATCGACAAACGCGAAAAGTCTTTATATTTTATAGGAATTTCCATAATTTAATTTGGAATCGATTTCAAACAAAACTTTATGCACTTATAACCTGTAACTGTCACACGTTCGCTAAGGACTAAGTCCAGAAACAAATATTTTTAGGGGGTGAATTCATCAATTAATTCGCCAAAGTATTCTTGAGTGAACTATTTGTGTTGTCTTGAGTGAAAAAATTAACCTATGTTCAAGAATACATCACCCGGACCCCGAAAAGTGCAGCACGAATTTAATAGTTTCTGCTTCTCCGATTGGTCAACTCAAGGCCAAATTTGCATGTGCTCCCATTATTTTTCGTAAGTGTGACGTAGGACTATCGGCTGTGAACGAGCCTATGACGCGTGTCGAGCGGAGCTGATTTGCTGATTCCGTAGTCGGGCGATAGAGGGTGGTATAATCGACGTATGGACAAAGCCAACGAGTTTGAATATACAGAGAACTATTCAAGAATTTCAAGATAAATAAAAATTATATAGGTAGTTTAAGTATGAATCAGAAAATTAGGTATCTATTAGAAAAGAAAATTGTGGCGGTGTTTTCAGCCAGTGCTGCAGCTCTGCAGCTCTTATTAAGAAACCGCCACTGAAGGTAATATACCTAACAACTAGCTAAATATACTCTCGACTGCCAAAATTTGTACAATGAAATTCCCTTTCGGAAAAAATTACCTAAAAATCTCTGAAATTCACCGAAATACACCAAAAAGTTTGCAAATTCCTTTGAAATACCCCTCAATTTCTCTAAATTCCCTCAAAATTGCCCTGCAATTCCTTACGTTTGTATACTAAAATTCCCCCTGGTTTAATCTATTACATCTGTAGTAAAATGAGTAAATAATTGTGAAAAATAAAGTTCCAACCCTAGATGCAACATTTTTCATAAACGCCTACTTGTGCGGTTTAAAATTTTGATGCAAAATCCGGCAATACCGCATAGAAGAAATGTATCAACCAAACGTTTATCTCTTTTTAATACAATTGATTTTCCATTAAGCTGTCTGTAGCACTGTCTAACATGTTTAAAATCAATTGTAACTTCACTACAGAAGAAAATTTTAAATACAGCGAAAAAATATTTTTTAATAAACCTGGTATTTGTGTGAGGTTATATTTTTAACTAAATTTAATACATACAAAATAAAAAAAATACAATGTTAAATAAAATTTCATAAGCGATTACAATGGATAAAAAGAGATGGCCAAAAGATATAATCAAGGATGGGCATTTAACTGTCCTAACCTAACAAAACAAAAAAGAAAAAAACGACCATTTTTTCTTTTCTTACCCAGCGAACCTTCCTATAATTGCAGTTAATATATTGATTTTAGAAAGAAATCTCAATAAAGCCCCTAAACCAACACCCCTAACAATGTTGGCAGACAGATGAAAAATACTATTTTATTATAGTTAGTGAATGAACCCTGTAAACGATAATTAAACCGCAAAAATATAATTAATTTCTTTTTCTTAAAATTCTGTTATGCTTATTATAAACATATATTCAACTGTATTCATGTGAAATACGAATCAACTCTGCAAAAGGTCAATAATAACATGACAAGATGTATAAAAATATTTTAGAACCCTCTAGGATTACTTATTTCTCTGGACGAATTGATACCAACCAAATGCATAGCTGTACAGAATTCTTGCAAAGACAGAGCTCCATCTTTGGTCACATCAGCTAGCTGCCAAATTTTTCTCAGCTCATGGACCGGTAATTGAGATCTACAACAAAATAAAAACCCATTAATAATTAGTCCTGAAATAACTATAGTCTATTCCACAAGAGAATATAGGACAGTGACAGTTCTCTCTGTCATTTAATAAAAGTCATTCAGTTTACCTTTCAAAAAACGTTCTTGCAATTGGACCAGCAAGTAGAGCATTTGTGTTCTCTTGTAGTTGTTTGAACTGTTTTGTATAATATTCCTTTTGTTCAGGAGTTATTACCCATACTTCATTAGCAATATCTGTATCCTCGTCACTGCTATGCCTATCCGAAGATTCTTCTTCTAAAAAACACAAACATAACAAAAAAAATCAATAAAAAAACACTACGTTTTTTATTTACCTAACAACTGTCGTTGTTCTTCTGAAACCAGCCCTTGCCAAGCCCAATTTCGATCCTGCACACTATTTGTCGGTGTTGGACTGTCAGATGCAGGACTGGAAGTGTTTGGAGAACATCTCACAGTCTCACTATCTGCCTCGGAATCTGTACTAATTGAATCAGTATTATACTCTGGTTCGTTTCTCAATTCGATAAGATCTGGAATGGGAGTTTCTGCATCGAAAGAGCCCCAAGTAAATCGCGGTAGTGGCAGATCTAGTTTGCTATTGATCAAGTTATTGCGAATGGGAAGATTCGACTGGTAAGCGGCTACAAGTTTCAAGGCAGAAAAAAACTGTTTCTTGTTTAAGTAGTTTGTTCCAGGAGTCCAGCATATCTCAGCTATCTACGAGAAAACAAAATAATTTGACCTTTTACGTGATACCAAAATAAAACAAACAAAATACTTTTTTATCAACCTGTTTGCAGAATTAATTAACTTGCCAATTAAGTTCATACTGAAAATGCACTCAAAACAGTAATATTTCGTTATAAACTGATCCAAATCTAATTATAATTTAAACGGTTTATCCTGTCAATTATAATATAATTTAAATAACTATTAAATAATCATACCAAATAGCAAAAACGATAACAATAACACTAGCCAAGTGGACGTGAATTACCTGTGCAATCACATCATCCGGGATATTTCCTGACTTTACCAGTTCGATGGTTCTTGTGAGGGACGCTTTTCCCGATTTTTCCTCGTCGCAGCAAAGGAATATATCGGAAAAATATCGCTGGAAAGTGTCTGACAGATGTAACTCATCCATTTTTTACATTTTTGTTGTCTGACGTTTTTTTCTTATGTTTGCACAATGAGGTTATATTAAAGAATGCAGTTTTGACAGGTAACTGTATTTTGGGTTGTATAATCAATTTCTCACGATTTGAAATAAAATTACTAGTTTTTCTTCAAAATTTAAATTAATTTTTTTAACTCTGAAAAATATTATAAATAACTGAAATACTGAAATTATAGTGTAGTATTAAAATCGCATTAAGGATTTTCTAGAATTTTATGTAATTTAAAGAAGGAAAATGCATTATTTTAAAGAGAAAAGAATGTTAACTTAACATGAAGCGATTAAACCAAAAACTATATAAACCCTTTTCCATTCAAAACCTGTTAAGCCGGCAAACCACACACACAATCCCCCAGTAAAAACAATATAGAAGAGAAATATTCATGGTCAAATACTTAAAATCGTCCTTTCCAATAAGACTTGATTCAGTATCGTTTGCAATGGTGCACAAAATACTACAGTTGTAATAAAATCAAGCTTCCTTAAAGTTGTAATAGTATCGTAATAATTCAACATTGAAAAATACGCAACAGGTGTTCGGTAAGTGACTTTATTTATGTTAATTTATTTATATTTACATCAGATTTCTCTACAAAGTTGTCACAAAAGATAAGGCAGGTTGTCAATGAGTATAATATTCGGAAAACTGGTTAAACTACAGTATAGTTCCGTGTTTATTAAAGATAAAAATTCAGGTGAATTTCTTTCTTAATTTAAAACAAAACAGAACGTAATGGGTGTATTTCTTGAATTTTGTTACATCCATAAAGAATAAATATAAATCAAATGATTGAAATCTGGCAAAAATATCGAAGTAAAATGTGGATACACGCCTATAATAGGAATTTTATTCTTCTATTATAAAGGTTAAGGTCAGTGTATTTTTATATGTACCTGTAAGTAATTTTAGTCTTAGTTCCATGTTTAAATTTGATATTTAGTTATCAATAATCCTATTATCCTGTATTATTTAATATTTGTTTTAGAAAAATAATAACATAAATTTCCACCTGTTGTTTTTAATGCACTTGCGTCATCTATTGACGATCAATGAAAATTACCAATTATCGTTATCTTCTTTTTGTAATTTTACATATATGCAACCAGATAAACAATAAAAATTTAAATATTTAAATCCATGAACTAAAGAAATTGAATAATACCATCTATCGTTATAAATAAATAATAATCACAAAGGATTTAAACCTTTTAATTACCATTAAAACAAAAAGATTAACAAACAACTATTGTAAAACTACAAAAAACAATTTGACAAATCATTTAATGTAAATAAAATGAAAATGAATTCTTTATTAAAACACCAGCAAGAAAAAGAACAAGCAACAATTAAATCCTTTAATTCAAATACATATTTTAAATATGAGTTATCTATTCAAATTCTATTAAGGCTTGTAAATTGAACTGTAATAATATAAAGATATGTTTACGCAGCTGAAGCGATATTTGGGCAGTTTGGAATAGTACATTTTTCTCGAGACTCGTAGTAATCAAACAGAATCGGTTTCTGACAGAACTGACATTCCTACAAAAAAAACACACTTTAAATATAGAGCTCAAAGAATAATCTACGATTTGTCCAGCAAGAGAATATAAAATTTTGACAGGGAACATAAAAAAATCAAAAAAAAAGGCAATCTACTTATGATTTAAAGACAGACAACTGTCAATGTCATATATTCTCGTTCTAGAGAGACTATATTTAGAGAAAAAGTCTAACCTTTCTACATTGTAGTCCGGTGAATGGCAGTTCCAATTTTTCCCAAACTACTTTCAAGTCAGACACAAGTAAATCCATCATTTCTTTCGTATGGTGAGGCGTAGGGGCGAATCTTAATCTCTCCTGACCTCTTGAGACAGTTGGATAGTTAATTGCCTGAATATAATGACCTTTTTCACTTAAAAGGGTATCGCTCACTGCAGAACATTTTTTAGGATCGCCTATTTTTATTGGTATAATATGACTTGGAGTGTGCTCAATAGGAAACCCATATTCCAGCAGTTTTTCTCTGAGATATTTCACATTTTCTTGATGTGTTTTTCGCAACATCCTTCCCTCATCAGAAGCGAGGATTTCAACAGCTTTTTTAGCACCAGCCAGGACAGTTGGTGGTAATGAGGTGGTAAAAATAAATCCAGCACCGTAAGACCTAACTGTGTCGATTAAAATTGAGTCTGCAGCTGAAAAATATTATTTTAAACTTCATTTTAATAGAGGTTTAAATATAATGACTAAAGAATACAAGGAACCAGTGTCCTTGTATTCTTTAGTCATTGTTTAAATATTATACCAATATATCCCCCAATGTTGCCAAATGCTTTCCCTAAAGTTCCCGATATTATATCCATCTTGTGCATTACACCATCTCTTTCTCCAATACCTGCTCCATGCTCACCGTACAACCCAATAGAATGGACTTCATCAATAAAAGCCAAACCCCCGTATTTGTGAGTTACATCACACAATTCTTCGAGAGGGCACACTGCCCCTGACATTGAATGAACCGTTTCGAAAGCCACTATTTTTGGAACATCTTTATCGACATTTTTAAGCAACTCTTCCAAATGTTCTGGATCGTTATGTCGAAAAATATGCTTCGGAACCTGACTATTTCTTATCCCTTGAATCATGGATGCGTGGTTACCAGCATCGGAAAAAATGTGGCAACCTGGCAAGGCTTTTGCTAATGTGAATAGGGTTGTGTCGTTTGCAACAAAGCACGAAGTAAATAACAGAGCCCCTTCTTTTTTATGGAGCCCTGCTAATGTTTTTTCTAGGTTTTCATGTAGAATGGAGTTTCCAGCAATATTCCTTGTGCCTCCTGCGCCACAACCAAATTTCTCCAAAGCATTTCTAACAAAATTATATTAAATTAGTTACCTGGGATTATAACAGCAATTAAATGTGGTTTACCTGACTTCATTTTTAACACTAGGATGACAAGACATGCCTAAGTAATCATTTGAACACCATACAGTAATTAGTTTCTCTCCAGAAGTGTACTCGAGTGCTTTGGGAAATTGTCCATCTCCGGCCAGTCGATTAACTTTTTTGAAAATCCTATAGGAATGCTCCTTTTTCTTTTTCAAAATCTGTTCTTGGAAAAATTCGTTGTACGCGAAGTTTTCTAAAGAATAAAACGGATTTAGTACCTAACGCAATAAGTATTTACCTTTTATCTTTAAGAAGTAGTAATGGAATTGATTCACTACTTACGATCAGTAGTAGGTTTTGTAGGTTTCCTTTCTTGATTTACCTCTATTACCTCATCCGTTTTTATTTCCTTAACAGCATTGGGAACTTTTTTTAAAAAAGGACATTTTGATGCCGTTGATAATTTCTCTGCATAAAAAATTATCGAAATTCAAATAAATAAAGCGATATAAACACAGGAATACCTTGCGATTCGTTTTCGCCAGCTATATGGTTCATGGATCTGGAGATAACCGGGCATTGGCTTCCGTACGTTTTTATTAGAATTGGTGCATAATTTTTCACGTAAGATTGGTTAAATCTCGATAAAAACGGGCAAGACATTTTGGAAATTTTCAGGAAAGGAAAAGTCTGAGAAAAATCCAAACAAAACTTTCTATTTCTAACCTCAGATTTGCAATTTGCAATACTCTGTGTTTTGGGTTGTATACTATTTCATGATGCGTGTATTTCTGGTTGTATAAAAAGTGATAATTTCTAACTGATTTGAATTTCCCTAAAATTAAAATTAATTTTTTAGCACTAAATATTATTAAAAAGACAACTTAATTACAGATATTCTATTAAAATCGTAATATCACGTAAACGTTTTTATGAAGCTCTATGTATTTTAATGAAAAAAGAGTCGATATTTGTGTTGTAGTTAATAACAAAAGTTATTATAAGGATTAATTAAAAGCCCTTTGCCATATTAAATCAACAAACCGATTACTGAGTAAGTGCAATATAGAAAACCAACACTCATGGTCAAATACTTGATACTGTATCCTTTCCAACAACTTTTTGAATCAGTATGAATTGTTAGAGTGTGTAAAAAACAACTTTTGTTCAATAAAATCAACTTCCTTCAAGTTGTACTAATGGATATAAAGTACCTACACAATAAATGTTCCGTAAGTTCTTTTATTTATGTTATTTTATTTATATTTAATTTCATATTTCATTAACCGAAGACTTGTCACCCGTGGGTAAGAAGAGGATGGTATAAGTTTAAAATTCAAAAAACTGGTTAAACAACAAAAGATTTCCGAGTCATTAAAAAAATTAAAAATACATGATTGTTTTTTGCATTTTTTAAAAGCCATATCGGTACTTATAATTGGTATTCTGTGCTTATTTGTACCTAATCATCCATAAAGAAGTACCTATATCTAGGTAGGTGTAGGTACCTATAAATTAAAAGTATTTGAAGCAAATTATGAATCAAGATAATGAAAAACTAGTTTTAAAGCAGAGTTAAAGCTTGATATCTATCCTACACCTCTCGTCTGTTATATTATTCTTGTAAGATCAAGGCATCTATGATCAAGGTAAAACAACTGAAAAATTGGTCATAATGCATTTTGAAATATACCATGACCCAAATTTGTAAAATGTACCTACAAGAGAGACAGATTTAAAACAATATACCTATTGCATTTTATAGATTGATTAATAATTAATGCACTTTCTAAATAGGTAAAGAAGCTGAAGCGAAAAAGCCCTTAATTGTTAACGGTTATTGTTATTAAAAACAATCTGTTAACAACAATGAACGAATGCGATCTTCAGTTAGCTAGGGCTATAGTGGCTGAAGAAAGTCTCAGAAACTCGAGTAACAATTCACCAGATGGTAGTCCACTTCCTCTGAAGAAAAACCTATCGGAAAAACAAAAGCTTTTCAGGTAAGTTTAAACAACTAGTACCTTTTCATTTGAAAAACGTCTTTTAGGAAAGTTATTTCCATCGCCCGGGTAGCTCAGTCGGTAGAGCATTGGACTTTTAATCCAAGGGTCCAGGGTTCAAGTCCCTGCTCGGGCGGACTTTTTTTTATTTTTTTTTAATCAATTGTAATTTTAATACCGGTTTTTAATTATTTTCTGTATATTTTTTATAGAATTTAAACAAGTTAGAGTTACTCGAAACATCTAGCTAGAATAAATAATAAACCACCAATTTTTTTTAAAAACATTTCTGAATTTGTTAAATTGTTTTGATTAAATAAAGGACTGATTATTTCAAAATACCATTTGTTTTGTTTTTGTTATTCGAAAAAATATAATATAATGCAAAAATTATAACAAAAAATATCTTTTTTTTGTTGCCAAAGTGTATTTTGTTTAACAAGGGCTACACAAATTTTACTCTTGAAGCACTGCTGGTGTAGTGGTATCATGCAAGATTCCCATTCTTGCGACCCGGGTTCGATTCCCGGGCAGTGCATTAAGTTTTTCATAAATTAATATTTTCGTTTTTTTATTTTTGTATGTATGGAAATTATATTTTTCATTGGAGGAAACTTTTAATTTCACTAAAATACTTTTTTTACTACTAATTTTGTAAATTTTGATAAATACAACTATTTTACGCGTTTTGAGTTTATTTTTATGCAAAATAATTAAAAACAAAAATGGTTTTTAAAAGTGAATTTTTAATTTTAATTAAAAAAAATTAAAAAAAGTTATTCCGGTACCGGGAATCGAACCCGAGCCTCCTGGGTGAGAGCCAGGTATCCTAGCCACTAGACCATACCGGATATATTTACACTTCTGAAATACTGAGTAAAGAGCTGAACGATGTGTATTATTATTTTTCTATTCCTTCTACATATTATTTCATCAATTGTAAAAAATACGGTATGCCAAAACTAAATTACCATAATGAACTAGTTGACGAAATTATACAATAATTAAATCATACATATACGAAATAAAAAAAATAAATAATAATGTAAATATTTACTTTAAACTGAAATTGTGAGCTTTATTGGATTACCTGTTATATTTTAAATAAATTTAATCTTGGTATGTTTTTTCTTTGCTTTTTTTGGCACACTTTTGTATAAACTAGAAAAAGATAGATATCCACACCTGACCTGCGGTGATGCCACTTCTAACGATTTTTCAGTAGATCTACCGAAAATACTCTACCGATTTTCATGCTTTTCATACTACCGATTTTCATGCTTTCATAAAAGGTCTTGACAGACAACATATAGGTATAAAGGTTACGTTTTTTTCTTGTGAGCTTCCGTGAGCTATCGTCATTTCGCAGCCAACTGGACGCTGTTTTTAGGGTTCCATACCCAAAGGGCAAAAACGGGAACCCTATTACTAAGACTTCGCTGTCCGTCTGTCTGTCACACAGGTCTATCTTATGAACCGTTATAGCTAGACAGTTGAAATTTTTACAGATAATGTATCTATGTTGCCGCATAAGAACAAATACTAAAAACAGAATTAAATAAATGTTTATAAATAAAAAAGTATACTCTGTTTTTTTTCTCAGGTAAGATTTCGACAGACGATGACAGAAGAAAAGCAGATGACGCCCCATACCAATCTATTTATTTTACTAAAAAAAGTTTCTAATAATTTTTAAGTTATCTATGGATGGGTTTAAATATAAATCCGTCATGCGTCGTGTCTTATTGTTTTTAACCAGTTTTATTGGTTTATTTAAAAAATGACAGATCGTATTTCAATTTTATTGGTTTGACGGAACGATGAACGACAAACGGACGCCGATGCGTATGAACTCGCCCTTGGAACTCGCCTTTAGATTTTTGTCATTTTTGACGCTTGTCAAAGTCTTGCCAAATTATAGGTTATAATTTTGTGTCAACTTTTGTTTTTGTTAAATACCCTGCGTTTTGGAAGATGATGCATTTTGATTCGTATTATTACGTGTGTTTTGTGTCTTTTGAAGTCAAGTGGAGGAAAATCGAGTGAAAATTAACTGTAGACCCAGAGCACAGTTTATGGTTAATATTCGCTGCCCAGGCAGAAAGTCTTATACACCAATGAAGTTGCCATCGATAAAGTTTGTATACCATTTCGTCGTAGATAAGTGCATCTCGTATATGGTAGAAGGATCAAACAAAACACATACTAAAAACTGGAGTAGCTGTAAAATATCGACATCACACGATAGGTAAATAATGGATTTTAGTACTGCAGAAAAATAATGTCAAAAGGTACTGGTTTAAAAAAATTAAGATTAAAGTTAATTAATCAACCTTTAAGGTATAAAATTTGGTAGGTGTTATTATTAATAAAATAGTTTGTTTTATTTACCTATGTTGTTTTATTTATTCCTGTGGAATATTACAAATTTGTATTTGTACATAAGTTATATTGATAAATATAATCAAATGCGGGTAGTTTCATAAAGCTGGAAAGTAAATAATAGTTCTTTTTTATATTTTTTTGGTATGTAGTGTCTTGTTCTTGTTTGTTTTAACACATACCGTTTTTATTAAATAAAATAACTCGATTACATTTTTTCAGTTTTATACAGTTTTTTTCACAATATTTTGAAGTAATCACTTGTCATCTTGTCAATCAAATTTTAAATATTTCCTGCTATGCGTTCCAGTTGTACCAACTTATTTCTTTGTAAAATAAAATAAACTACTTTGAAATTAAAATGACAGACACATCTATCACTGTCAAGGATCTTCTCGTTGGACAGACTATACTTTCACTAAACATTATCTTTTAAGTAAGAATTTTACATAGAATCTTTCAAGTCCTCGGTGGCCGCGTGGTTTAAAGCGTTAGGACTTTACGCTGCTATGACTATAGTTTAAGGAAATTAAACGTTTCCTTATACCGTATGATCGAATAAAAACGGCGTCAGCGATGGCTATGAAATGAAGATCGCTGTCATTTTGTATGTAAAATTAAATGGGGAATGTCATTGATGTTCATTTCCAAGCCAACTGGACTCCGTTTTTTTTTGATCATACGGTACTATGCTATGACGTTGTACCGACTCGCACTTGACCAATTTTTTTCGATCACACGGTATTATTCCATTATTGAATATCAAATTTTTATTTTTTGAGACTAATAAACGATATTTATTAATTTATTTAGTAGTTAAATCCTGTTTAATAAAGACTTGTGTTGTTTGCATGTTTCAAGTATCTTTTTATACTCCAAAAAGACTTTTGACGGGGTTATTTATGAAAAATAAAATTTTGGTAGTGGCAACACTGCTGACCTGTTTCAACCGAAACGTCAAAACATAACCTAGTCGCGTTTTCGTTACAAAAGAAGTAAATGTTGTAATTTTCATGTGAATGTTGGGTAAATTTGAATAAATGTAAAAATGTCGACGCTATGGGTTGGCTCGGACATCGATTTACCAACTCTGCACAAATGTAGGTCGGCGGAGAAGCAAGAATTTCGCCTATCATGTCTGGTGAACAAAAAGACTCACAGTGAACACTACATAGCGAAATTCGAGGCGAAACTGGACGAGATCGACCGGGAAGAGCTCACGCATCACAGGAGACCGGGAACTTGGCCGTAAGTTGCGCTTTTTCATTCTGCTTTTGATGGAGGTCAACGATTTTTTCACTGACCTCATTTTAAACGCTTTACGAGGCATAGATTGGGTTGAAAGGAACTTTCGATTGAACGTGTGTGAGATATAGAATTATAGAATTTATAATAGTGCTGTATGTAATTAAATAGTTAATTCTTAATTATTTGTTATTCGTTCAGTGAAAAATCTTTCAGGTCTTTAAATACGTTCAGTAAATATGTTTAGCGTACTCCGGTATGGTCTAGTGGCTAGGATACCTGGCTTTCACCCAGGAGGCTCGGGTTCGA